TATCAAAGTGATAGTAATAAAAGTCATCATCATTATCATCATCATAGAAAATTCATTCATTGCTAGGAGTAACTGGTAAATGCGACAGAGGTATGCACCATAACAGATTCACAATGAAAGTTACATTTGCAAATATTTGAAGAGGTGGATTTTCAGTGGTGATTTCAAGCTGTCAAGAATGTCCATAAAATGTTTAAAATTGCCAAGAGCAAAAGCAGGTCTAAGTTATGGCACAGGAGGTGTAGGATTTTTGTTGGGTCTGATTGAGGCGCAGGCAGTCAGATTCTGAGTGCATGTGTGTGGTGGATGTCATCTGATTTCATTCAGATATATGACAACAGCATGGGACAATCCCCCTGAATTGTTTGTAGACATCAGTTCATTGAATGAACTATCTTTATTATTTTCTTACAAAGTTTAGTCGAGTCAGAAGTCAAGGGGGGACTAGTCAAAAATCAGGAGAAAGTATCCAGGGAGGGGGCCCTTGTTGCTATCGGTCAACAAGAATTGGCACAATCCTAACATTGCGTTCCCTCGTTCGTCGTGGGAGGCTCGCCGTCCAATGGATCGCTGGTTCTCCTTGTAGAACTGGAGCTTCAAATGTTTTTCTTGCGTCACAAAAAAACCTGACCAAGGAAGGGGATTTTTCACCAGAAAAGTCTCGGTGATAAGACGCTTCTTCGATGGTTCTCGAACTTCTTTTTCCTTTGTTTTACATTCACACGGGAGAAATCAGAAACCAGTGCTCGATTGTTTTAACGGTAAGCTCGAGTGAGTACGGTCAAAAATAAAAAATAAAGTACTTTTTTTCCCCCCTTCGAAAAGTAAAATCTGAACAATTAATGATCAGAAATGAATAAGGATTATTCGTTAACCCCTTTTTAGGTGGCTTACATCGACTTAACATATAGTATGACTGTTACCATCACTTGAATTAGAGCAAATGCCAACAATTCACCCCGTAACCTCCAATCAGTGAAGTGATTTTCGAATCGAACTTCACTGTGTTGGCCTTTAACATCATTGCTCAAAAGATTTGCACGATTGTGAATATTCCTGATTGGTGGAGCTCACTGAGGGTTTACTGTGCAACAACCCATCTCTGCAGCATGATTTTTGTGAGGTTCATTCAAAAACTCGGCCTTCCTCCCCTCCCCGCTCATCCCATTCTTTTTGTGAATCTCTCCGTCCGCCGGCCAATAATACTTGTGTTGAAGGCCTCGCATGCAGGCCTTTGATGGCGCCGGACATCCAAAGCCGCCGTGCGTCAGCCCTGACGTCAATCTGCCCAAACACACCGATCACTTTGTGGCAAAGAAGCTTGTAGTGGGTGGGTGGGTGGGTTGGGTCGCTTAGCTTAGCTTGGTAGCGGAGCAGAATGAATGGCCATGAAAAACAGGAACGGAAAGAGAGGTGCGGAGCAAAGTGGATCAAGGCATAAGAATGTGCGGGAGAAAGGGGCACTTAGTGAGTTCCTTGATTTTCTTGTTGGACACAAACTAATCAACTCCAAAACGCTTATTGTTTTCCACTTAGGATTGTAGCGTTGAAAGTCACCATGAACCACCAACAGATCGCAATAAGTTAGGATACTTAGGTGTGAACGTCTGCATTATGGCGAGTAAAACATGCCTTTGTGTTTTTGCCTTTGGGTGCTTGTTTGTGGGTCAAAGTGACTCACTCATCACATTCTCGACCTGTCTATTGTCAGAAACGGTAAATATCTTGGAGAGCCGATTGTCATGCATGTCAGGGATGCTTCACAACACCGTTTTTTTTGGGTGGTTTTTTTGCCAGTCTCCACGGTCGACACTGCAGTACAGTGATGTGCATGGTAACACGTAGATGAGTACCGGTCACGTGGCTCTTTTGACCAAAGTCTCGTGACATTGTAAGGGCAAACGAGTGTTAAAAAAAAAAAAAAAGAGACTTGTGCACCATTCAAATTTTACCCGTTGATGAAAATTGCTGAATGAACCGTCTCTTTGGTCTGTATCAGTAGACCTCTCGGTATTCATGGCCGAACGTGTCCCATGCACGCACACACGCGTTCAATTTCAGTCCTCAGCAACTGCACAGTTACTTAGAGACTGATTGCAGAGAGGGTGTGTTTCCATAGAAACCCTAGTGGCTGAGTCATCTTCACCGCAGTGCCCGCTCGCCTTATGAGTGCGCATGTGTTTGTGTATCCGTTTTCATTCATTCATTTTTATCCGGTTTGAATCATGATCTGAATTCCAAATGTGGCTTGGCCACGAGCATGAGTGGCTTTGCGACACCGAGACCGCTCTCATTGCGGTGGAATGACATTCTATTCAACCAAATGCTTTTAGCGCTGTGATGTCATCTCTCCTGCTCTGGCACGATGTCACCGCCTCTACCATGAGACGCATCCTAGGAACAGACTGAGAATTTTTTGGGGGGGGCTCGAGCTGAAAGATCTGACCTGGAGCGTTTTAGTGTCTGACATGACAGTCAAAGGTCAAGTTGGAGGGTTATTCCCTTTCAGACCAGCACAAATCTCACCCCAAAAAATACTTAAGCCTGCCGAATATAACGACTGCCATTAAAATACAGTAACGTAACAGGCCCAAATGTTGATTTAAAGTTTGGGATTTTCAAAGTCATCATATTTTAAGTTCCAGCCAACCACAAGCCAACAGTTTGATCCGTCATGGATCTTTGTGAGCGGCGCGCTCGTGAAGCCCTTTGAGAGTTTTTTTGTGATTTAGGACGATGCAAATAAACTTGATTCTCCTTCATCAGCACCATTGTGTGATTTGTAGTTTCTTTTTTGAACCATTTCTCAACAGTTTTGGCCCATCTGTTGAAGGAATACTTGTGCCGTTCCCCTTGCTTCCCCTTGTTCTCAAACCGATCGTCTTGGTTGAAATGGAATGATTTGCGCTTCCTGTCACCAAAAGGGACACGAGCTCCCACAATGTGACTTTGTAAACAGATTTATGCCCACAGCAAGAGTCATATCTAGACACACATGCGCACAAGCCCCTCCCGCCTCCCCCTATCCATGACAGGGAGTGTTTCCTCCTCCGAAAGCCCCCTGCATTATTGATGCCATAGTATGTGCACGACGTGGCGCGTATGCTGGGCTTTTATTTGCCTTTGCGTTGTGCTTGACATTTTCTGCCTGTGTTCCATCAAGTGCGCACACTGCCCTTCTGTGTTGACACCGTGAATGCATGAATTCACTTGCTGTTTCATACGTCCATTCCACGGGCGCTTTGTGTGAGTCCGCGTGGGTGTATCTCTTTGTGTCGAAGAGGGCGGGAGGCTGAGCGGGGGCGGGGAGCACTCTATAAATAGAAAGCTACAGCTCCCTTTTAGCCCTCGCCTTGGACTCAAAGAGAAAACGAAAGCTGAGGGAAGAAGGCAGATGAAGGCGAGAAGGAGAAAATGCAGATTCAGAGCAAGCAGAGGGGGGGGGGGGGGGATGAACCGCGCCATCACTTCCTCAACGCGGGGATGCCCATAAAAGGACACAGCACCGTACATCCTCCGATATAGAAGCAGCCATAACACGTTTGTTGTGAACTAAAGCTTCATTCCAATGACAATTCTCTGAAATGGAAGGTGAAAAGCCAGATCCCTCCGACACCTTTACATCAGCGGTCCCCAACCACCGCTACTGAGACCAAGATCTTATTTTGCTTGGGCTTGTTTTTTTGGTTTAACCAAGCGTCAGTCAACCATCCGCCAAAGGGCAATCTAAATAGGGCTTTGTGATTACAGCATATGATCGAGAATCACGAAGCGAGCTGTGAGCATATTTACGCCATCAGACGTGGCGGAAATGTGCGCGACTCGAGTGAAACGCAGACCCCATTCAAACATTGGTTTGCAGGTTGAAATAAGCAGAACATCCCAATAAATGAAAGAGGAAGCAGTAAACGACAAGTGAGTGTAACAACTTGACCAAACGTGTAGCTCAACGTGTAGCCATGGCCTCTGAAGATGAAGTGATTTTGACGAGAGAAATTCCTCCCCTGGCGACGTGGAGGGGGAAGCAGTTGTGCGTGGTACAAGTCGTCAAAAACAAGACGATACAAGAAACCTGTTGACTTCTTTGAACAAGAAGCACAAAGTGATCAAATGGAAACCATGAAAACGTGAGCAGAGTTTGCACAGCCCGTAAACGTTAGCTGTTTAGTTGCTAATAACTAGCCGGCAGCCACTGGATGAAAGTCGCAATCAATGGTGTGACGTCATCTTTTGTTCGGTCACGTTTGCAAATAGCAACGATGCTAACGCCGCCTCGAAGATCGTAACTTAAAATATTATGTATACATGATAAGATGTATTTATTATTCCCACTTGGTCTGTTTCTTCGCCGTTATCTGTGTTATTTTATGGCATTCTACATTTGTTGTATTTTTGAATCAAACTTTGAAAGGAATGAAAATGCGATGCTAACAGGTGGAATTTTCATGTCCTCTCGGGAGTGCAAGCGGTCAAACTCCCTTCGTCCGCTGCGGTGACAACCGACGGGAGGAACAAAGATGAAGTCACATGTCCCCCTTTTCATCCGAGAAGCAGAAAAGTCACCGAAATGAGACTGTCCGTGAGCGTCACCATTTTCAGCATGTCGACGTTTGAATCAACGTACCCGTTGTAATGCAACTCCTGGTCAGAGTTGCGTCTCTCCTTTGCAAACAATTGATTTCACCTTCCGTCTTCTTTTTCGACGCATTCAAACGCCTTCGAGCCTTTCGCCCTCTTTTCCCAATCCGCCTGCGTCGGTCAAAGGCCAGAAAGGTTTGTTTACCCGTGACATCATCGCGAGAGCGGATGGAGGGGTTTTCTCAACCGCTCGACTGTGTAAAAAGAAGGTTGCCGTGAAGATGCCGCTTGATGTGACGTCAGCGACCAGAACTGTCACTTCCTTGAAGAGGGGCCCACCTCAGACGTATAACCGCCGCCGGCCAGACAAGTCCGAGTTGAGCAGCCCCCGCGGTCGCACGGCGCGCGCGCCCAACTCACCTGTGTGTCATCGGCGGCCGTGTGCGTGCGCCTGCGCTCTGCGGCCATCGCCACAAGCCGACCGCTCGGGTTACTTAAGAAGCGGGAGAGGGAGAGGCTCTGGGCACAGCTGCCCCATCCTATCTCTTTAAATGACACCGAGCCGTAGCGCTCTGCGCGGGTGCGTGCGTGTGCTTGTGCATGCGCGCGCGCGCGTTTGGGGGCGAAATTAGGCGAGCGCCGCCGCGTTGTGCCGGAGGACGATCGAAACCACAACGCAGCCGCCCTTTCGCTCACCTTTTATCGCGAAGAGGAAAGAGGCTGCCCGTCGCTTCTCCACCTGCGCGTGAACGCTTCGGACTTTTGGACCGGGCTGCTCCTCCGTCGTGCCGATGGGCTCCGTGGGCGCATCGCTGGCCTCGCGATAAGGAAACAGCGGGCAGGGCGGCCTCGCCATCACATTTTGTTGTTCCGCCCGTTTGCCAGGGGAAACGTGATCGAGAGGCAGTGTGCGGATCATCATGGATTAAGAGCCGAGCGAAAAGCCATCTGAGAGGTAAGGGGAGAAGGGTGGGGGGGGGGGGGGGGGGGGGGGGGGGTGCAAATGTAGCGAGTGCTTGAACAGTGGCGTGTGTGCGTGTGGCGGTGATGGGTGAAGCTGTGCTCGGTTATGGCAGCGGCGGAAGCAGCAGCAGCAGCAGCAGCAGCAGCATCCATGCTCCACACTACGGTCATCCGCTCCCACGAGGTGGAGGAGAGCGCGGAGGCTCTCGGGGGACGCCGGGGGGAGGGAGTCGGTGCTCGGCGCTGGGTGGTCCGGCCTCTTTGTATGCATCGGGCCTCGGGGAGACGAAGCTGATCAACCGCATCGAGCTGCGGATTATTAACTCACGCGATGACGTCAGCGTCTGTGAGTGACGTCACTGCATTGGGGGCAACGTGGCACCGATTTTGAGTCTTAATCTACTCTTGGGGGTGTGCACGCACAGTCAGTGGATTGTCGTTCTCCAGTATCTGGCGAACAACAGGTTTGTGTTTGTTCCTTGTAGTCATTTGTTATCCACTGTTTGGAACTAACCCTCATTTATAGGGCTATGCCTTTTTTTCCATTCCCTTGTATTGGTTATAAAACTAGAACTACATGGTCAAAGACAACCACAAACATCCTTTAATATAAACAAGTCATTCCAAAGGAAGAGGACATTTTCTGTTTTCCTACCATGAAATTTCAAATATTCCGCGCACAAAGTACAGAATGTAATGACCCCGAATTATTTATCTCGTGTACCCCTCAAAATGATCCCCCCTCCACTTCGGCCTTGATGACTAACTTACGTAGCGACTTTAGAAGAGAACCTCAATTTCAAATCGTTTTGTTGATGTCATGTTGTTCTTATGGCTTCATTGAATTTGTTGAAAGACATACTTTTGATGGTGATAAATAGGCGCTGAAGGAAAACCCCTCAATCAGTTTTTCTTGAGGAAAAAAAAAGAAAACATTTCCAGAAATGTTGTTGCCTATATCATCCTCCAATTCTAGAATCACCGTCACTGAGCAAAGTAGAGGCCACCACCAAAGTTGTTGTTTTAATCTATATACATGACTGACAGCGACCCTAGAAAGTAGAATTTGTCATTTGAAGCACAGTGTAACGTCGAAGGACCTGTTTGGGTTTGATTCTGCCAGTGTTCGAGCACCCGGCCTCTGCTGGTCCCAAGATAAAAATGGGAACAAATCATATAAGTGAAAAACTGTAGCGACCCCTGAAGACAGAAGCAGAAAGTAACAACAACAACAACAACGTGGAAGTTTCCAAAATGAGAGTTCTTTGTCTCTCAGGCGGGGCCCCTGGCACACGCATGCGACGAAGGAATAATCAAATCAAACTTTGGGGAGAATCTGTATCATGGGGCAGATACGGTGAATTATTTTGTTTGAGTCACTCTGGCAAAAATAAATTCGAATGCCGCAGTTCATCATCCCCCTCAAAATCCGGAGCTTGCTATTTATTTTAACGACACAAGAGACAGACGCCACATCGCGATTTGATCCCAGGAACAAAACAACAACAAAAGTGTCGTTTTGTTTGCACTGTACTCTATGCTCAGGTCCTGATCCCATTTTGGCCTATTTGGAAATTTGAACTTGTATATGAAGTAACGCTTTTGGAAATTGTTCATCTTCGGTTGGTCTTCACAGCCGATAGTCTTCCCTTTTTGATTAAAAGCAGTATGAGTGCACAAAAAGGGGAATGTTCTTCATCCACTTTTGGTGAATGAGTGTCCAATGTACATTTAGTTATTCAATTTAAAACCCAATAGATGTAGCCTTGGAAATGTACTCCTAACAAGAAAATAATCACGTCATCTGGCCGCCCAAGTGGACATTTTAACCAGAGTGTGTGGACAACAATGTACTGTAATCATAAGTAGCATGATGTAATGTGGGCGTGGGGGCGGCTAAGCGCCAGAGAGACAAATCCATTGTAAGTGCGACTCTAGTATTTGTGCTTTTTTTTTCTCTATTTATCAATATAATATTTTGTTGTCCACTGAAGAAAAAAAAAATGGGGTTGAATTTACTCCATTTGATCTCGTCAAGCGGTTGCATGAAATAACATCATCTGGATCCAGTTGTGCTATTTTGAAGTAACCACGTGATGAAATCAAATTGGGTAAATTCAACCCGCCATTTTGTGGGGTGGAAAATCAAAATAAAGAGGAAGCAGCGACCTGTCGAGGGATGCACTTTCATGGTGTTATCAGCATGAGATCCAATCCTTGCAAATCCCCCATGAAACCCAGGATGACTAGTCAACAAGAGTAAGCAACCTTGCATTAAAGGCTAGCCGCAGTCAAAGGCTCTAATCAGCTTTTGTTGACATCAACCGAGTGTTTAGCCACCGCCTAATTAACGTGCTCCGCTTGCGCAACAAGACGGAAATGCAAATGACTAGTCGCCACCTACACCCAAATAGGCCGCCATTTATTATTTACAAAAAAGGTAAGTTGAGTGGATGTCATAAAAATAAATAAATAAATAAATCGTTGTAGTTTGTACACAGTGAAAAGACTCCGTCACTATAGACTGATAGCACGATCAAACGTTTCTCTTTCTTGACTGCGTTTTCCACTTCTGCCCATGCGGCGCGCCGAGGCTCCTTCACCATCGGCTGTATTTTTAATGTGATTACACAAGGAGAGAGGCTGCTGTGAGCGCCCGGCGAAAGGGACTCTATTGACTTTGTACAGCACACATTTTTACCCATTTTCACATTAGCACTTCACACGCATGAATGGCCCAACGAGCTCATTAGCACCGCAGGAATACAACGACATCTCGCATGCCAGAATGGCTGTCTTTCACGGGAAGAAAGTCACTCGTGTGTTTTCTATGTGCCAAGAGAGACTACAGTGCAATGTTAAAGGGAGCGACGAGTGGACATTCGAAAGCACAGGTGTCAAAGTCAAGGCCCGGGGGCCAGATCCGGCCCGCCACATCATTTCATGTGGCCCGCGAAAGCAAATCCTCTGTCAACTTCCATGATCCTTGCTTAAATCTGTTTCGAACTCTCAAATTGTCATACGTAATAACTAACGGTGACATCTTGCAATAATTCTGTTACCCTGTTTACACTCACAAAAGCAATAATTGAACAAATACTTGACTGACTTCAAAACTAGTGAGTCATCATTTTTTTATGTACAAGTAATAATGCGATGTGATGATTCAACATTATTTCGGTTTCACTGTCTTAACGGCCCTCCGAGGGAAGACGTAACTTCACAAAGTGGCCCGCGACAAAAATGAGTTTGACCCCCCCTGTTCTAAAGTATTGGTGCTGAGTGACATTTCTGGGAGGTCAAACATTGAAGAGTCGCCCTTTCTCGGTCATTCCACGCACATCATCAAAAAAACAACGAGGACTGACAAACAGCGCGATGTTCTTCGTCTGTTCCCAAGTTTCTGTTTTCGGAAATCTGTGGCTCCGGACAAGAAGGAAAAGGAGAAATTCCCACGTGTTCATGTCAAGTGAGCTTATGATGATTATGAAGATCCTGGCGCTTGTCGAATTACACGGGCAGAAATCTCAGTGGAAAGAGGTGCTGAATGTGGATCATGGAAACAGGACGGAAAATGAGTTCTTCACACAGCACCACTTGACGGGCCGGGCTGACTTTGTCCCTCAAGCGACTGAGGCCCTTTGCAGCCACCCAAGCACACATCACCGGCGGTGCCACTGAGCTGGAAGGGAAGAGTTGTTGAGCTAACTGCGGACTCGGCGGCGTAAACACCATTGATAGTGCTTCTCTTGCAGTTACGGTAAGCCGAGCCCCGCGAGAGCGATTCATCATCACAGACAAAGCTGCTGCCTGGCTCTAAAGTGCGACGTAGCCTGTCAATGTGGATGCACACCGCTTCTAAAAACAGCGCTGCGCAAACTTTTTTTAGAGGCCCGCATCCAGACAAATCGCAGGATGCCATGGCAACTTTTCACTTTCTTGGACTTCATTTAGTGAGCGCGCTACAACCGCTGCATTCAGCGGTGGGAAGATGTTTTTGGTATCCACTCCATTGGAGCGATTTTGAAAAACCGCCAAGTCGCAGCTTACTGGCAAAGGTGATTGTGAAAATAGTTCCGAATTTTGGAGCAGCGGTGTCATCGGACACTCTTTCAAGCAACGTTTCATGTCAGTTTTTCAAGACGCAGTACAACAAGTGGGGCAAGTCATTTTTTGCTTTATTTTTATCCATCGGGGATTCATGAAGATGATTTGCGCTCCTGTTTTACTTTTGAGTTTCTTTGCATACCTGCATATCGCTGGCGTCACAGTTTGGTCAATTTTTCACAAACTGACTGGAACCTAAAAACATCCCTTTCTGGGCTGAAACAACCCAGCCGGCCGGCAACAGTGTTGGTTGACCTAGCCTCATAAAAGTCCAGGTTTTCTTCAAAAGCGTGCCTATAAAATGACTTTCTAATCATGTCTGACATTGCCAATCTGTGGTGCACATTTCAAACTCAACCACTGCGAGGGATAAACATAGCTGAACCAATCCGAGCATCTGTGGAGGCACAGAGTGGTCAATCTGAAATCTGTTTGTTTTTAAAAAGAAACAACTTCAACGAGTGTGGGCGTGCGTACGTGTTCATGTCAAGTGAGCTTATGATGATTATGAAGATCCTGGCGCTTGTCGAATTACACGGGCAGAAATCTCAGTGGAAAGAGGTGCTGAATGTGGATCATGGAAACAGGACGGAAAATGAGTTCTTCACACAGCACCACTTGACGGGCCGGGCTGACTTTGTCCCTCAAGCGACTGAGGCCCTTTGCAGCCACCCAAGCACACATCACCGGCGGTGCCACTGAGCTGGAAGGGAAGAGTTGTTGAGCTAACTGCGGACTCGGCGGCGTAAACACCATTGATAGTGCTTCTCTTGCAGTTACGGTAAGCCGAGCCCCGCGAGAGCGATTCATCATCACAGACAAAGCTGCTGCCTGGCTCTAAAGTGCGACGTAGCCTGTCAATGTGGATGCACACCGCTTCTAAAAACAGCGCTGCGCAAACTTTTTTTAGAGGCCCGCATCCAGACAAATCGCAGGATGCCATGGCAACTTTTCACTTTCTTGGACTTCATTTAGTGAGCGCGCTACAACCGCTGCATTCAGCGGTGGGAAGATGTTTTTGGTATCCACTCCATTGGAGCGATTTTGAAAAACCGCCAAGTCGCAGCTTACTGGCAAAGGTGATTGTGAAAATAGTTCCGAATTTTGGAGCAGCGGTGTCATCGGACACTCTTTCAAGCAACGTTTCATGTCAGTTTTTCAAGACGCAGTACAACAAGTGGGGCAAGTCATTTTTTGCTTTATTTTTATCCATCGGGGATTCATGAAGATGATTTGCGCTCCTGTTTTACTTTTGAGTTTCTTTGCATACCTGCATATCGCTGGCGTCACAGTTTGGTCAATTTTTCACAAACTGACTGGAACCTAAAAACATCCCTTTCTGGGCTGAAACAACCCAGCCGGCCGGCAACAGTGTTGGTTGACCTAGCCTCATAAAAGTCCAGGTTTTCTTCAAAAGCGTGCCTATAAAATGACTTTCTAATCATGTCTGACATTGCCAATCTGTGGTGCACATTTCAAACTCAACCACTGCGAGGGATAAACATAGCTGAACCAATCCGAGCATCTGTGGAGGCACAGAGTGGTCAATCTGAAATCTGTTTGTTTTTAAAAAGAAACAACTTCAACGAGTGTGGGCGTGCGTGTGTGTGTGTGTGTGTGTCATTTCATAACGTGAAACCGCGAGAGCGCTTCGTCGCTGTGAAATATGTCTGCCTTTTTCGAAGCACTTCTCAGCGCTGGCTGTAGCCGGTCTAGCTGAAAGAATGGTTGTATTATGTAATGGAGGAACCCGGTGATGCTGCAGCTGAGGCGGAGCGAGGCTCCATCTGCTCGGGCACCGGCAGAGAATTCCGCAAAGGTCCCAAAAGGGCTCAAGCTAATGATAGCACGAACAGATACATGGAAGTGTGCACGGACGTCGCATGTGCTCCCGCACCGTCGGTTGTTTTGGCAGAGCAGGGCAGCGTGATGGGGAGGTTGTGTGCGAAGTCCGCGTGTTACGTAACTGATGGGTTGGAGCCTGCCAGCCTCCTCCTGCCGCTGACACAGAAAGATCAGCGGGAGCGGGCGAGATGAGGCCATGCGCCGTGGAATCGTTGACACTTTCCGGTGTTGTCGTGTTTACGTACGCATCCAGAACCCGTCCAGAGACAGATTGGAACCGAGTGCGAAGATAGTTTCAACAGTTCTCTTCCGAGTCAAGGAACAAATAAAACATGATGGCCTGTCCATCCGATCATTCGATCAGAAGCCGGAAAGGTTGTCATCTCTCTTTTGGAAAATTGAAAGTCCAATGTTGATGAGATGGTTTCGAATGACCCTGGCATCAGAATTTTGGATCCGCTGTGCTTGTCCAAAGCAGATCTGTAAAATCAATATTTTAAGCATGTAAATATTTGGCCTGTTGTTTCTTTTTTTTTTTTTTTTTTTTAGAAACATTCGATGTGGCTGGTTTGAGGACCATCTAACTTCCCTGGAAAACTCACTGATTCAAGTCAAGTTAAAAGACAATTTTCCATGCCTTTCTCATCGGAACATGATTGTTTAGGTCGTTTGAGGGCCGCATACAGAAAAATGGATGGATGAAAGGGCTTTCCCGGCTTGCGTGATCACACCATCCATCTTGTTTCGATGACAAAAGAATGTCGGCCAACAAGCAAAAAGGCCCTTTGCGCCTGGCCCAAAATTCGGCGCATCCCTACGACGAAGCGCCATTGTGGTGTCGTTTTGCTTGGCCCGAAAGTGCACTGTGGCTGATTTTAAAATGGCATCTGTGCTTTTTACCTTCCCAGGTTCCCGATGTTGAACATGTCCACCCCCAGTGAGCTGAAGTCTCCCTGCGTGACTCGCAACGGCATGGTGAAGCTGCCCCCCAGCCAGCCCAACGGTTTGGGCAGTGCCAGCATCACAAAGGGCACCCCCGCTGCCAAGAACCGCCTGTGCCAGTCCTCCTCCGTTCCCTCCATCCTGCCTCCTCCGCCATCCTCTCTTCCCTACCACCACCACCACCACCACCACCAACACCACCAACACCACCAACACCACCACCTGGACAACACGGTCATGCCGCATTCGGCAGCATCCATCCTCGGTTGTGACCCGGAATCCGGGAAGCAACTCGTCGGTCTGAAGCCGTCCCTGCGCCCGCTACCCCCGCTCACTCTCCCCAAACCCCTTTTTCTGGAGCGCCAGCTCGTCCTGGATGAGAAGCTGCTCAACCGATTGCTCTGGTACTTCACCACAGCCGAAAAGTGCGTGCTGGCGCAGGTCTGCAAGACGTGGCGTAAGGTGCTGTACCAGCCCAAGTTCTGGGAGGCCGTGACGCCCATCCTGCACGCCAAGGAGCTTTATACCGTGTTGCCCAATGGAGACAAGGAGTTTGTCAGTCTCCAGGCCTTCGCCCTGCGCGGCTTCCAGTCTTTTTGCTTGGTGGGTGTGTCAGACCTGGACATTTGTGAGTTCATTGATAACTACCCGCTCTCCAAGAAGGGCGTACGTTCGGTCAGCCTCAAGAGGTCCACCATTACGGACGCGGGACTAGAGGTGAGTCGCTCTCTTGTTGGGATTCACTCTGAGCTTCGGTTGGGCTTTGATCGGATTTTCAAAGACGATGTACAGTGTGTGTGTGTGTGTGTGTGTGTGTGTGTGTGTGTGTGTGTGTGTGTGTGTGTGTGTCCCCACATGCACCTGAAGCTCATCAATCACATTAGCGAGCACACTTGGCTGAATGAATAACAGACGAGCACAAATCGACGTGACATCTCACATGGGCACTTGACTTCAGCTCACCCTTTGGCATTCACACACGCTAAGACGGGAAATGTTCAGGAATGCAGGCAATTTGGACCGGCAAAGTAGACAAGGCGAGGTGGAAGTTGCTGCATCGGGTGAGAAGCAGAAACCCGCTTTTGCTGTCACGGTAAGAGGTGCCAAATGCAGATCCAGCCGAGTCAGCGTTCCGTCGAAATGGACCGCATTTTAACGGCACCGGATTGACTTCAGTTCAACTTGGGGATGGTTTTTTGAAAGTGGGTTGCCATCATCAGCACAAACAACACCCGAGCGGCGTTTCATGGGGCGGTGTGGTTCTTAGTTCGGCCGGTGTGCCTTGTCATCGATGGCAGTGGCAAAGAGAAGCCAATTCTTGTGTTGCGTGTTTATGTTCCGTGGCTCTGAACAGAAGCTGCTGAGTGTTTCTCAGATGGCTTTGCATACCCGCTAGGCAAAGTTGCTATTCTGGGATGAGTGGACGGTTGCCATGGTGAAAAGCTGGAACTGTTGACTGCGTGATCTACAGTATGCGGTATATGGACTTTCTTGGTGTGGGTGCCCAAAATGTGCGTTACCTCCACTCAACTCAACTCAAGTGTCTTTCTCGGCCCCTTTCAAACAGCCGCCGCTGTGTGCATGCAGCCAAAAGAATTCAGACAACAACAAATGAATTCCAAAAACAGTCGAGAGCACAAAAACAGTCAAAACTACAAATCGAGTCTCATGCGGAGTCGAAAGCCAGAGAATAAAAAGGACTTTGAAGACGAGTTGTAAAGACGGGCAGCGAGGGGGCTCGCCGAGCACTGATTCCAAAGAGAGGGAGTGGCGACGGAAAAGGCTCCATCCCCTCTCAGCCTCCGCTGAGTTCTCGGTACCTCTGGTCGGCAGACCTGAGGCAACATTTTAGAAAAACTATTTTCATGGAGACTTGATAACTTTATTCAGCAAAATCGATGTGGCTTCAGAGAAGGTAAAATGAGGATCCACTTAATTGAAATCCAAAGAGTGCACGAAAATACATTTCTTGGAATAGTAATGGAGGCAAAACTATGTTGGAAGCGTCTAGAGACATCGAAATGTGCCAGAGTGTGTGCTTCTGTCGTCCCTGTACATACCGAAAGCTCGAGCATACAGAAGTGCAGCATGCATAAGTGTAAATGCTTTTGTCTCCTTGAGAAGGTCTATATGTGGACTTTTTTCCTTTACTTTTCAGATTGCGACATCCTAGATGAATGATCTATTATTAGATTGAAATCAAACAAGTTAACATTCACAAAGAATAAGGAGGACTAGATACGTTGTTTTTGTTTGTTTGTTTGTTTGTTTTTTTTTACTTCTTCCTCCTTCCTTTGAACATGTAAACAGTCCTGAATGCTGACTCATCTCCTCAGCCATCCGCATAAAGGCGGCCTTTGTATCGCAGGTGATGTTGGAGCAGATGCAGGGTCTGATGCATCTGGAACTGTCAGGGTGCAACGACTTCACGGAAGCCGGCCTGTGGTCCAGTCTCAACGCCCGCTTAACGTCGCTCAGCGTCAGCGACTGCATCAACGTGGCGGACGACGCCATCGCTGCCATCTCACAGCTCCTGCCCAACCTGTCCGAGCTCAGCCTGCAGGCCTATCATGTGACTGACACAGCTATGGCCTACTTCACTGCCAAACAGGTAGGCGAAAAAATGGGGGGGCAACTGCTCAAATCAGTTTCACCAACCTTGCTATTTCTCTGGCCTAATTTTACAATTTGATCTAAGATGTTCAAATCTGTTACTTCCAAAAATGTACGAATTTTAAAGTGGGCCCTTTCATTCACGCATTCGTTTTTCTGTATGTGGCCCTCTAGCGAAAAAGTTTGGAAAAGTTCAACTCCGCCCACAACATCAATTAAATGTTCATGAAATAATACCCCCCCGGTCCCCCTTTCAGGGCTACACCACCCATACTCTGCGGCTTCACTCGTGCTGGGAGATCACCAATCATGGCGTGGTAAATATGGTGCACAGCCTGCCCAACCTGACGGCACTCAGCCTCTCCGGCTGCTCCAAAATCACTGACGATGGTGTGGAGCTGGTGGCGGAGAACCTGCGCAAGCTTCGCAGCTTGGACTTGTCGTGGTGCCCCCGAATCACTGACATGGCCCTGGAGTACATTGCCTGTGACCTGCATAAATTGGAGGAACTTGTCCTTGACAGGTCAGTGTGTGTGTGTGTGTGTGTGTGTGTGTGTGTGTGTGTGTGTGTGTGTGTGTGTGTGTGTGTGTGTGTGTGTGTGTGTTATGGAAAAACACA